GGGTTAGTTTTTAAAATATATAAAGAACTTATACAACTCCATCCCCCAAAATAAATGATCCAATTTAAAAATGGACAGAAGACATGGACGCCTGGGTATCTCAGTCAGTTGAGCATCTTACTCTTAGTTTTGGCTCAGGTCATGCTCTCATAGTATTATGGGTTTGAGCACTGCATGGGGCTCTGTGCTGGCAGCACGGAACCTGCTTGGGATTCTCTCTCTCTCTCTCTCTCTCTCTCTCTCTCTCTCACACACACACACACACACACACACACACTGCCCCTCCCCACTTGCACAGTCTCTGTCTCTCTCAAAATAAATAAATAAACTTAAAAAAAATAGAAGACATTAGCAGACATTTCTCTGAAGACATCCAGATGGTCAAGAGACATATGAAAAGGTGCTCAAGATCACTCATTATTAGGGAAACACAAACAAAAACTACCATAAGAGATCACCTCACACCTGACAGAATGGCTAAAATAAAAAACACAAGAAACAACAAGTGTTGGCAAGGATATGGAGAAAAAGGAACCCTCTTGCACTGTTGGTAGGAATGCAAACTGGTGTAGCCACCTTGGAAACGAGTCCAGAAATTTCTCAAAAAATTAGAAATGGAATTACCATATGATCCGTTAATCCCACTATTGGGTATTTACCCAAGAATACAAAAACACTAATTTGAAAAGATGTATTCACCCCTGTGTTTGTGGCAGCATTATTTACAATTGCCAAATTGTGGAAGCAACCCAAGGTCCATCAACAGAAAAATGGTAAAGATGTGGTAAACACACACACACACACACACACACACACACACACACACACGACTATTAATCATAAAAAATAATAAAATCTTGCCATTTGTAACAACTAGAGGGTATAATGCTAAGAGCAATAAGCCAGTCAGGAAAAGCCAAATGTGATTTCACTCATATGTGGAGTTTAAAAAACAAAGGACCAAGGAGAAAAGAGACAAACCAAAAAACAGACTTTTAATTATAGAGAATGAACTGATGGTTGCCAGAGGGAAGATGGGCAAGGTGAAACAGATGAAGGGAATTAAGAGTACACTTATCTTGATGAGCACTAAGTAATGTATAGAATTGTTGAATCACTATATTGTACACCCGAAACCAACAAAACACTATATGTTAATTATACTGGAATTAAAATTTTAAAAAAAATTGATACTGAGGCCAGACTCTATACCAACTGAATCAGAATTTCCACAGGAAGCTAGACATCAGTACCTTTTTAAACTCCCAAGGTGATTGCAATATACTGCCCAGTTTGAGAACTGATGTCCTCTACCAGTTCTTAAACTTTAATATGCATATGAATTTCCTAGGCATCTTGTTAAGATGCAGATTCTGATTCAGTAGGTCTGGGATGGGCATGAATTTCTTCATTTCTAACAAACTCCCAAGAGATGCTGTTGCTGCTGCTGCTAGTCCGGGATCACACAGTGAGTAGTAAAGTCATGGATGACAGTTTTATATTTTGTTCTCTTTCCCAACCCCCTGCATCTTCTCCCCTATCCAGACAATCAGAAAATGAATCAAAATTCAGAATTCAGAAATAGAGAAGCAATGGTAAAAGAATTAGTTGACTTGGAGACTGCTTCTGCTGATGTCAATAAGTTTAAAAATGGAACAAATGATGAATTTAAGGTCCTATTTGCATGCCATAATCAGATGGTCATTGAAATGGCATGGTGACTGTCCAGGAAAATGCCATGTAAAAGTTAAGTCAAGGGGTGCCTGGGTGACTCAGTCGGTTAAGTGTCCGACTTCAGCTCAGGTCATGATCTTGCGGTTCATGAGTTCTAGTCTTGCATCTAGTCTTGGTGCTGACAGCTCAGAGCCTGGAGCCTCCTTCGGATTCTGTGTCTCCCTCTCTCTCTGCCCCTCCCCACTCATGCTCTGTCTCTCTCTGTCTCTCAAAAATAAATAAAAACATTAATTTTTTTTTTTAAAGTTAAGTCGACATGAAATAAATCTTTTTTAAAATGTGCTAGACAAAGGTAATCTGAATGCCAATATTTGTAAGTAACAAGAGTTGAGAGAAATAAATGGATGCTAAAATATTGCTTATGAAAAACTTTTCCTGATGATACCTTCATATTGTAATAAAGAACTTTGGAGCAAAGGCTCCTATGAATGCTTTAAGCCTAATTTTGTGATTACTATATATTGTAACACTGAAATAGAAGTTCCCTCAATCTATTGAAATAAACCTTCCCTTGATTGAACAATAATAAGTAACTAAATAAGATTGATTTCCATTAAGGCTTGCTGATTTTCAAAATAACTCATCTGATTTTTCTGCGGAATGTATACTTCAATGTCATGTATTTATTTAGCAACCTACTAACACTGGCAAGACTGATACATGTACAAATGAATTCTGTGAAATTGTACCAAGCACACTTGCTCCAGTCATAGCTCTTTATGCCATGCTTCTGTTATCAATTTTTAACTTTGATATGTCCTTTATATGTAAACACCATATTTATATGTATCCTGGTAATTACTTTTATTAATTTATAGTGTAGATATATCAAAACGTGCTCCATAGAACACCAGGACATAGATCTTCTACCATTCTGTTGAAATAAAACCAGGAAATGCTGCATGTATTTCTTTCTCTTGGAGATTTATACTGCATTATTGGCATGCTACTAAAGGGCCTGTTACTAAAGCTTGTTGTACGAAATAAAAATAATAAATTAAACTCCTCAACTCTCCCACTGCTTTCCTAACCTATTAGTCCATAGAAACCTCCCCATGGTCCACCTGCCCCCACCCCAGCACCACACATTGGTATCCTATGGTGCCCACTTTGTAGAACGCTGCTTTAGAATCACAGACCTGGTAATACAGCTGAGGGTGTCAGAAAACATTTTGGCATGTTCAGTTTCTTTCGCTTTCTACTCCCTCAAAAATATCTATTTTAATATATAAACAGCATCCATGAAAATTATTTCTGATAAGAAAGGCTTTCAGGTAATTAAAAGCCTGTGATAATTAAGTTATGGTCTATATTTAATTAACGCTTTATAGTAATTAAACTTTTCTCTAACTGAAGGCATGACTTTGAGATTTGATTATCTGAAAGTAATTTTCTAAGCAATAATTCTGTCTCTGTTGAAGCACGAATTTGAGAAGTGGGTGAACTTATCAGACTGCATGGTGACTTACATGGTGTGTCTCCTTTTACTGATAAAGAATGAGCAGGGATACCAGAATCTACAAGTGAATTAGATTATAAACAAAACACCAAGGAAAAACAAAAGTCTAGAGCCCTCTGTATACTTGGGACACAGAGCAGTGTTGGCACGGGCTACCACCAAAGTTAAACTGGACTGCTCTATTGATCAATAATGTCAAACATTTTTTTGATGCTGCTTTTCTTTGGTTTCTTTCTTTTTTCAGCCTAGGTCCTGTGGGTTTTTGTCCATGCAATCTACAGGCATGATGAAGCAGACCTACACCCAGATTCTGATTTCACTTTATGTTTTCAATCTAGGACAATAAGTACAATATCTGTTTTCTGGCAAGCCTCCTCTCGAGCCCTGGAATGGGAGCAGTTACAATGACAGGCTTCTCTAGCACGGAAGCAGCAGAGGAGCCAAAGAACACAACAGTGCACCGTATGCTGGGGCCAGCAGTGCCTGATTGCTCTCGCTGAAAATGGCAATGAAGCATTAACCTTTTCTCAGGAAAGCTGAGACACAGGAAAGAGGACAAGAGCCAGAGGAAATACCAAAGAAGAAAAAAACAGGAAGTGTAAAGGAGACCAATCGCAAGGACAGCACAGATAATAATCGTGGTACAGAAGGCAAGCAGCAAGTCCTCTGACAGCAGAGAAGAGAAAAAGCAATCAACTTAGAGTGGTTGTATCATGTGAAAAGAGGAGCAAACAGCCTCCTAGGCCTCAATGAAAATATTCACTTATTTACACATTTATTTGTTCATTCTTTATTCATTCATTTTTTCATTTCATGCATCCAACAGTGAGTTCTCTCTGTGGAAATCCTTCACTTGACTTTTTTCCAGATTCCCACTTCTATTACCATGGATCAAGGCTCTTAGATTCCCTGATTTACTACAACAAAGAGAGGGTCAGTACATTTTTCTGGCCTTATATACTCAGGAGCATCATGTCTGACACAGATAACGTAGATGAACAACATTATTTTTATGAAAAGGGAGTGACAGTAAGGATGAATCCTGACTGAAGACAAGATTGCTATCTCTAACCTCCCCAATCTGTGTGTACCATAAGGCCCATCCCTGACCTCCAAGTAGAAAATAAAAACCCTGAATGAGAAAGACACAATCCCAGAATTCACTAAGAAAACCATGATTTGACTCCTGAATTTCTAAATTGGATGGATTTGGGTCTCAAGATAGTTCAGTCAGTTCAAATCGCATATAGACAAAAAATACAATTTTTGCATATCTAGATTTGTGGCTCAAGAAACTTATGTTTTCAAGTTTGTTTTGAAGTAAATATTGAAAAAAACCTCATTCTTAGAATTTTCTAGTTAAAATTTTATGACAAGTTATAGGAACTCTATTTAACAACCAAAAAATGATATTATGTTCCCATAAATATAATTTAGTGCTCTCCTACTTCTGAAAAAATAACTTATTTTAGATGCAGAGTCTTATATTCAAGTCTGACAATTAAAATAGATTTTTCAAAAAACCATATTACAATCCCATAGTTTTAAATTTAGTTTTACAATGTTCAGATGGTAATGTGAATAGAAACGGTAACTCAATTACTTTTCAAATAAGTACCTTGATGAATATATTCATTTTCTTCTGACAAGGAATTATTATTGCCTTAAATTTAATCTTAGTTCTTCACATGCTGCAGGGATTTTCATGGCTAAACTGCTTTAAATTATCTTATGATTCATCTACCTTGAAATATGAATGCACTGTACTCACAATAAGACAGAATAATATGTAGTAGATGTTAGATTACTTTAAATTTGATTGTCTAGAAATATTTTATTAAAACATTTTTCTTACGTGGCTAAAAATAATGCCCCTTGATTCACTTTATGGGCAGATTTGGGAGACTGGACTGAGCTGGTAGTATGTGCACTTGTTCATTCATTCAACAAATACAGAGTTAAGCAGATAAAGGATTGAGGCCAGAAAGCTGCTAAAACAAAGAAGAGAAAATCAGTCTTCAAGTCTAGAAGATACTGAGGAAGGAAGGGCCAAGCTGTATTCTCTACAGACAGGACTGGTGCCAATGATTCCAGGGGAGATATTGTTTGCTCTCTCTCTGGTTTGAAACAACCTGTGGACAGAAGGTAGGGGAGAACAGAATCTAGATTGTAGCAGAAATAGATTGGAAGGCTGTAGGTAAATCTGACGATGCAGTCTAACACAGAAAGGCTACAATTGCTTTAGCCTCACACATATTGAGAGTATGTACACTATTAAGTTCAGAAAAATTATTCCAAAAGTCAGTGCCAATGCTTTGTATTCTTATCTCTAGTTAGAAGTGTGTACAGATAGGCAAATGTCAAGAACTGGAAGATATAAAGGCACCGATTAGGTAAGAAGGGCAACTGTTATCAACTCAGTTTAGCCCAGTGGACCCATTTTCTTCCATCAAGGGATTGGATAATCTGAGTTGTATTCATTCACACTGTAAACTAGGGAACAAACCTGTTAAGGCAAATTTCCTTTCCCACACAGGCCAGTGACAGATGTAAATTTGGAACTCACAGTGAAATGTGGCTTTGGGAAGATTGTTTTCCCCATGCAGGGTTTCAACATTTGTTTTGTGAGCAGAGTGCCTAAGGTAACAGGAAATAGTGTTTCAAATTTGTAGTCCAATCAACCTCAAAGTACTTAAAAGGACTAAGAAAAGATAATTTTCCTGTACCTTAGAAAGGTAAGCAAAGTGGTGCAGACTCTTAATAGTGGTAGGAATTGCATTTGTGCCCAAAGAGAGGAAGTATTCACTTAAAAAAGAACAATAGGGGCAACTGGGTGGCTCAGTTGGTTGAGGAGTTGAGTGTCTGACTCTTGATTTCAGTTCAGGTCATGATCTCAGAGTCGTGGGATTGAGCCCCACACCTCCCGATGGGGTTCAGAGTCTCTTTTCCTGTGCCCCTCTCCTCACTTGCACACTCTCTCAGAAAACAAAACAAAAAACAAACAAACAGAACAGTAAAGGATGGGTTTCTGAAGGACATTACCTCATTGGAGAAAATCTGTAGTCACTGCCATTTTTACCCTATCTTGAGTTCAATAATCCTGCTCTCTTGTTCCTGAGCAGTCTTGAATACACACACATACAGCTGTGTTACCTGAGCTACTTACTTTTCTTTAAAAAAAAAATTAACATTTATTTATTATTGAGAGACAGAGAGAGACAAAGCATGAGCAGGGGAGGGGCAGAGAGAGAGGGAGACACAGAATCCAAAGCAGGTTCCAGGCTCTGAGCTGTCAGCACAGAGCCTGGTGCAGGGCTCAAACTCACAAACCATGAGATCATGACCTGAGCAGAAGTGGGACACTTAACCAACTGAGCCACCCAGGCGCCCCTACTTACTTAATTTTCTTAAAAGTTTATTTTCTCATCTATAAAATAGGAGTAATAATATCATCCTCCTAAATCTGTTGTGAGAACAAATGAGATGATCATGCAACACACTTAGCATAGTGACCATCTAGAAGGTAGCAAATATCAGTAAAAGATTGTAGTCATTGACACAAATTAGTGCTATGTTTTTAATTCAATTGACACTGAAAGATGTAAACAGATGTTGATAAAGTGGTCTATGGCCCATAATTTTACTTGGATCTATAAACAAATTGGATTAAGCAGATTTATGCACTCAAATCAATGACCAATGTTGTAAAACAAACCAAAACTGTGAACTCTTGGTTTTTATTTTCATCTTTTATGTTCAAGCAACAAATAGAGGCATTTACAATAACACCATTATGTGTTCCTGAACAACTTTGCATTTTGCAAAAATTGTACACTAAAAATAATAGGGTCTGTAGGGAAAAATAGCATTAACAGCAGAATACTCAAAACCAATGAAAGTTTGAAACCAATGCCCTAAACAGAACTAATTAAAATCCTAATAAGAAGTTATACTAAAATGGGTAAATTTCCATGGGCATTTGCCAAAGAATCTCAGTCGTTCCAACCTTTGTGACCTTTTACCCTGGAGTCATGCTTACTTCCTCTTTTGAAATACATGTCCCTGAAGACAGGCACTTCCACAGAAATCTGTTTGACCAAAATTTAAAATACAATCCAAGAGTAGACTTCACACAACTTACACACAACTTCCCCAATACACTGACCTCATTCTCCAATTCGTATATCATATATGTGAAATTCATTAAACCAGGAGGCCATTAGACTCAGGTGATTCTAATATCTTAGCAGCCTATGTAGGCAATCCCAAACCAAAACCTGTAAATGCCTCAAGGTTAAGAAATGGAAACCTAAGGACAATCCTAATGACCAATGACAAGCTGATCACAAACGTAAGGACAAATCAATCACAAGCCAATCACAAGCCAATTACACTTTCCCAAGTAATGTAACTGCATAAGCTATATAGCCAAATAATTTTCTTGCTTTGCTTCCACCTCTTCTCTCTAAAAGTGTTTCCTCTAGATTCTGTCAATGGAACATTCCTGACTACTTGCAGTTTGATGCTGCCTGATTCAGATTGAGTGTTGCTCAAATAAATGCTTAAAATGTTTAATATGCCTTGGTTTATCTTTTAACACATACGTGTAAATTAGTATTAAAGAAAAACACACTGGAGAAGAGACTATATGTTTGCATCATCATGATTATGATAACAAATGTAATAATGATGGTACTCACCATTATTCCTTCTTGCCTGTAGAAAAATACTTTCAGACAATGATGAGGGAAGTTGAATAAATATCCAATGAAGTGGAACTGCAAGAATATAAACAGTAATTATGTCAAAATACTTTCACAGCATACCTTGCATCTCTCACTCTTGAAACAATAGTGTATCAAGAAGGCTTTGGAGGAAAAGTCAGCCCAAATGGGTATGACCAGATCAATGCCCCTGGTGGGGCTTCCCTAGTGAATTGCACAGTAACTTCTGATTTCAGGGTAAGGACATAACTCACAGCAACCACACACTCTGTTCAAAAAAAAAAAAAAGGTATGATGACATTTTTTAAACCTTGGTTCACCTCCAGTCTAACAATATTGCAACCAAACTTTGGCTGCCCTTGGATCATTTCTACCTCTCTATCACTTACTCAACTGCTTGAGCCACACTTAGATCTGTTTTTACAGTCCAGTGAATTTGAGGCCCAAGACATTCCCTTCTTGTCCTTATAGGAATAGAAAGGAATAAAAAGATGCAGAAGAAGGTAATTTTCAGTTCTCTGATAATTAGTGCAAACACACCTATGCACATACGTGCACACGTGTGTTGATGGATATGTGTTTTCCTTCTCAAGTATAAACCCAACATATCACATGTGGACTATCTATCTGCCTTTCTGTCCCTGCACATCTGTTACCACCACGAAGTGCAGAGCTGGGTTCAAGAATGGGAGAACTCAGTAGTTTTCTAGGTCATAGGCCTGATAGTTAACAGGTATACACATTATAGTTGTTCCAGTCATTAAAATGTTGAAATACTTCCATATCATCTCCCTGGGTCCACAAGTCTCTAGACCACCATCCTGGTCTCCCGAGTTTCTCCCATGCAAATTCCAGGAGGTTAGCCTCCCATGTGGTCTTAAAGCATCCTGTCTTACTCCTGGTAAATTTATCACTTTGTGTATTGTCATCGTCTTGTTTGACCGTTTCCCTGGCTGGAAGTGAGTACTTTGAGAGAAGAAACTGCATCTTGTGATCATTTTATCCTCGACATCTAGCACAGTGACTGGCACATAAAAAACTCTCAGTAAATTTTAGTGTAATGAGTTGCAACAACAAGCATAATAAAAATAGGTAATACTTCCTGTAATAATGTCATATGGTGATTGATGCTAGCTACACTTGTGGTGAGCACAGCATAATATACAGACGTGTGGAATCACCATGTGGTACACCTGAAACTAATGTAACATTGAGTGTTAATTATATGTTAATTAATTATATATAATTAATTATATTACTTATAAAAAATAGGTAATACTGATTTAAAATGTTTATTTTTTATTATTGTATTTATTTACTTAATTAATTTATTTATTTTTGAGAGAGAGAGGGAGAGAGAAAGAGAATCCCAAGCGGCCTCCACATTGCCAGCGTGGAGCCTGATGTGGGGCTCGAACCCATGAGCCATGAGATCATGACCTGAGCTGAAGTCAGACACTCAATTGACTGAGCCACCCAGGTACCCCAATGGGAAATACTTCTAATGTAACCCTGAAAAGCAGCTTTATCCCCATCATTCCTATTTTACAGATGAGAAAACAGCACAGAGAAATTAAGTGACTTTCCCAAAATTACATAGTCAAGGAATTTAATTTTTTTTTTCAACGTTTATTTATTTTTGGGACAGAGAGAGACAGAGGATGAATGGGGGAGGGGCAGAGAGAGAGGGAGACACAGAATCGGAAACAGGCTCCAGGCTCCGAGCCATCAGCCCAGAGCCTGACGCGGGGCTCGAACTCCCGGACCGCGAGATCGTGACCTGGCTGAAGTCGGACGCTTAACCGACTGCGCCACCCAGGCACCCCATAGTCAAGGAATTTAGATGTGATTTGCAAATCCAGGTAGGCTGGCTCTAGGGATTATATAATTGGGGCTGCATACTCTATGCCCTTGCTTTTGAATGAGAGGTAGAATCACAGCAATAATACAGTATCATTTGCCGTCATTACAAAATAACCTTAAATTTAAAAGCCACATATGATTGAGAAAACATGTTTTATACTCACTTCATTTTAATGCTGACTGAATACACGTAATTCATGTCCCGGCCTAGATGGCCGGTCCCTAGGGAGCAGAATAGGGAGGATGAAAGAAAATAAGTGGGGCCAGAGGGAAAAAACAAAATTCATGTCCAAAGCATTGAGTCAAGATTAGGTACCCACAATGTATTAAATATGGGTCTGATGGCAAGGATGGGGGTAGGAATCTGAGAGAGCATGAGCAAGGAACAGCAGGTTGGAAGGGAAAAGAGACTGAAGTCTAGATTCTACTAACACGTTTTTGCTGTTATGCCACATTGGGAGATAAGTGGTATCTAATCATTTTTTTTACAACAAACATTGAGCCACTTGTGCAATTGTGAATCTTTTCTTTGCTTAATTGCACCTAATAAACTTGAACTAATAACTTGATGATCAATGACAGTCATTTGACTTGTAGATTTGCCAAAGAATATTGAGTGTTTCTCAGATATCTCTGAAGCTTAAATTTGGATGACAGTATTTGCCTTCAGTGACAGAGTTAACTAGGTTTATACTGCATGAAAATTTTCCCCCATGCCAGCATTTTACCTATTAGATGTGCTGTCTTAAAAAAGCCCAGAGAATCTCCTAATTTAATCATGGTATATAAGTAAATGTTCGATATAGCTAATATTTCATGCCCAGAACAGAAAGAAGATAAGCAAGGAAATCAAAGTGAGAAAACAAAGAATGCCAACTTGGAATGCCAGCAATATGCCCACATCATCTTATACCTGATCTTAGCCAAAAGGCTGAGAAGCTATACTCTCATCATCTTAAAACTTCCCTTTGTCCTTGGTTCATAGGCACACAGAAATCAAACAGAATCCATCATAAAAGAATTCTAAGAAGCCTCTCTGAAGGTTGCTCCTTCAAAATACATTACTAGCTGCTACACTTACCAATGAAAAAGGTGAGGGCACCTAGGTGACTCATTCCGTTAAGCGTCCAACTCTTGATTTCGGCTCAGGTCATGATCTCGTGGTTCCAGCCAGGCTGGAGTATGGAGCCTGCTCGGATAGTCTCTCTCTCCCTCTTTCTCTGCCCCTCCCCTGCTCACTCTCTCTCTCAACATAAATACATAAACGTTAAAAAATAAAACCTTTGATAAAGGTGAAACCCATGTTAGACCAGTGCCATACCTGCTGCCCTCATCTACACAAATGTGCACCATGGGCAGCAGACATGTTTTAGTCATCTCTTTCCCCTGCAGTGATTAACACAGGACCTGGCTTATTAGACATCAGATGTTTGCTGAATCGGATCTGTGGGCCACACAGGAGCATTCTTCCTGTCCCTTGTAGGCTGTACTCAGACTCTGTTCCACATGGGCTAAAAGCTCCTCAGAGACAGAGAGCATGAGCACACCAGTGGGCCACGCTCCAGCTTCACATTCCAACAAGATGCTCTTCTGCAAGTGCATGTTGAGTCCAGGGAGCAGTTCAGTTGGATAGACTGCCGCCTCAAGCTTCCATCCTGTTTGTTCTGGGATACTAAATTGGCTGAATCAAAAGGGATCTTCTCCTCTGTGGGTACAGTGTTCCCTACTCATATCTTTTGAGAATGGACACATCCTATATCTCAATGTCACTCTGGCTGCATGGCAACATGGCAAATGCCCTACACATAGCTGGACGACTAGATCCCCACCATGATCTTTCCAGTAGTCACCACTAAGTCACTTAACCTCATTGAGCTTTAATCTTCCCATCTGCAAAATGAAATAACACATGCCCTGATTTATGCACAGAATTGTTCTGAGGATCAATGGCATAATATATATAAAAGTGATTTCTCAACTATAAAGCAAACCTAATAAATATAAGTGGAATTATTGGTGGTATTTTTGATATTTTCAATTTTTTTTTTGCTGGTTTCTTTGACTCTGACCTAATGATCTCAGCCTCATAAAGTCAGTGAGGTTAAGAGGGCTGTGTTATTGTTTGAGAGGGTTTTCACACGTGAACTTTGAAATTCAGTCCAAATGGTGTAAAAGTGTGACCAACATATTGCCTGCCCTGAGCAGTTCAGTACCTTGACAAAGAATGGCATTCCATGTGTGTGATTTACCATCATATTGAGATATATAACAGCTCCAAAATATATATTATCTATAAATATGACAACATTTCATATGTCCTAATTATAATGTAACACTGAATTGGTAGTTGCAGTGGTATTAGGGTGGATCTACAGAAGAGAAGAAACAGATATATAGTCACTCAACCAACTTATTGAGTAACTACTGAGTGCCAAGCACATTACGTTAGATACTGAGACTACAGCACTGAGCAAAACAGACACAGTCCCCACCCTGATGACATTACTATATGGCAATACTATATGGCAAGCCACTCTAGTCTAGGGCATCAAGGGAGATTCCTCCAGTAAAAGTCAGTTCATGGAAGGCTTCCATGTATGGAATCCAGAGAGGTAGACTAAAGGGGATGACATTACTATATGGCAATACTATATGACAATACTATATGGCAAGCCACTCTAGTCTAGGGCATCAAGGGAGATTCCTCCAGTAAAAGTCAGTTCATGGAAGGCTTCCATGTATGGAATCCAGAGAGGTAGACTAAAGGGGAGAGGTGGAATAATAGGGGCAGGTGGAAGAGTCTATGGGACCTGTGATTTTTGGTGGCTATTTATTGTCTTTGTAATAATTATCTCACATTTTCAGCCTCACTGCCCCAAAGAAGACAGACTCAAATTCCCAGCCTCCCTTACAGCTAGGTTGCTGTGCTAATGTAATGCACTAATACAGGACTTTGATTCAGAAGTGAGCAGGACAGGTAACCAGACTTCATGTAGACTTTTTTTTTTAATAGTGTAGACAGAGATATTTGTCCTAACTCCTAAAAGTTATTTGAACTGTCAAAAATCCTTTAACAAATTCTATAAATAATTCATCTAATCATTTCACAGCAAAACAGGTATGAGAAAGGGCCCAGGACCATGAGACCTACCAGTCTTAATTATCTCCTGCAGCATCCAAAAGTGGGTGGCATCAG